GTGCCACAATTGTATTTAGTCTCGTGTAACCTGTGAATAGTCTGCATACAAATGTGCTGTGAACTAGTCAGTGTCCGCGTACGAACCCTGAAGTCGCCTCTGACCATCCCACCAACAACAAACAAAGGTTTGATATGAGTGTACATCCCTGAGAACTACTAGTTTTGTTTATTTAGTCTCCCTGTGAACAGTCTCCATACAACTGCTTTGTAAACTAGTCGATGTTCGTATACAATCCTTGGAAGCGCCTCTGTACCATCCGACATGAAAAAACAAAGGTTTAGTGTGGTCGTACATGGTCGCCGCATAGGGTCCTTGCATGAGACACCTTCTACTAACAGCCGCATTACGCCAAGACTGGAATGAAGAGACAGTCCTTCAGCACAAAAGCTTCCCTGTTTATCCTAGGAAGGATTCCCATAAACTTGTTGCACGAATCAATTGCGATCCGCATGCAAAACCTCAAGTAGTCCTCTCTTAATCTCGAGACTGCCAACCGTGCACAATCGCGAAGGATCCGCCATCCGCATTCCTAATGGCGAGATCTCCCATGAACTGTTCTAATGGAACCATGAACCTCAAGAGAAATCCTATTCAGGCTACACGTAAAGACCAAAAAGCAGGGTCGTATTGTGAATATGGATAACACCCTTGCTCACATATGCGAATCCCTGCGTAATCTACGACCTATAAAGGATCCCAAATGCTTCAATAGAATCACATAGGCTGTGTCTTTCTATTGAAGTATTGGAGAGTCTGAACACGGGCCTAGCACAGGCCTTGTATAGCCACTGAAGTATCCGTAATACGCATTTCTGATAAGGGATTTTGATGAGACATCTTTAGACTTTAGAGCAACTCCCAATGAGGATCCGTAACAAGGACCCCATCTGAGAATTCTCAATAAGGAAGCCAAGTAGAATCCACTACTTATTAGGGATCCCGAACCAAAATCTTTAATGAGTGCTGGTAGTGAGGAACCGCAGCAGTGGCCCTGCAAACCTAAACAAGATCCCAAATTTAGATGACTGGCCAGGATCTTTCAGAGTAAAGCAAGCTTCACAGGTCATTTTCACACCAGGTTTCGAAGATAATTAGGACCCATAGTGGCCTTATATACTAGCAATTCTAGCCAAAGACTATGTAGGGGATCCCGATGACAATCTTTTTCTGAAGATATCTCTTGGAAAATAGATCAGTAATGCTTGTTAGAGTTAGAGTTTTTGTGAGCCGTCCTCTGCTGGGAGCCTTGGGAAGAATGCTCATTTGGAATCTGTACTAGATATCTCAACTTGGCATCCACAAATTCCATTAGGGAATCCCGTTAAATGTATTATTCCAAATCCATATCAGAGGTCCGAGTAAGTTTCAGGCTCCCACTAGACTAGTGAACCTTCTAAGGGCTGCTGAGTAAGCAGCCCTGCTAAAGTTTCTTATCAATTAGGGATGCCTTGAGGAGATCTTGTCGGTGATCGTTGTATTATTCGTGATCCAAATAACAGCTCCTCCACATTGTTGCTGGCAGCATAGGACATGCCCAGATTTGTGCAAACCTCCTTGTTAATGATCCTCTGTAGCAGTTCCTATCGGGGAGTCTCATTAAGTAGTAACGGTTTGAATCTCTGTTTCGCTGCTTATTAAGCTAGTTTGTTTCAAGTTCATATCTCACCTGGCGAGCTCTTATTAAACAGAAAGGCGCGCTCTTGTGGCCTCAGTTTTGTGGTAGTGGTAAAACACTACTAACTAAAAATTATGGTTGCTACATACATAATATCATGTTTTTATTGACGGGAAAGATGTAACACTCTCTGTGACTTCTGTAGTTTAGCAGTCTAAGAAAAATGAGTAAGAAAGGTCATTTGCATTCAAATTGTTTGACAGGTTAAATGGTAGAAAATGTAGGAT